GGTGGACAAAAAGGAAATTTAACTATCGGTACGTTGCGGGGGGGTTGGTGAGCTGTTTAAGAGTGGAGTAATTTGATATAGACAAGTGGGTGAGAGAGGGAGAGAGGGAGAGGGAGGGAGAGAAGGAGAAACAGGGAGAGGGAGGGAGAGAGAGGGAGAGAGAGGGAGAGAGAGAGGGAACACTCCAAATTAAGGTGCCAGGATAGACCCTTTGAGCTCTGCATGTTTACTGGGGAGCGAGCTGTTGGTCACATGACCGACTCTGCGGCTCGCTAGAAAGCGAACGGTGGCTGAGAGCTGATTACTCAGTGCTGGTTAGTGACCCTCTGCGGTGATGGCGGGGAGGTGTGTGCGCGTGAACGTGGATTACAGGTGGGCCGCGGCTCCTCTTTCTCAGGCACCGGCTGTGTCCCGGGCACTGGCTGGCTCTCATTGTGCGCTCGCAGGCAGGCATTTTCATTCTCGACGTTTTTTCTCGCAGACAAGGAAAGTTCAGAGACATCGTGCGACTTGATTGAAGTCATAGTTAATTCAGTGGCTGAGCTGTGTGGGGCCCCAGGCGGTCTGACCTTAATTCCCTTGTTCTTAACCGTACTCTCACTGTACGAAAATTCATTAGCTCCTAAGAAAGCGTTGAGCCAAGGCTCATGGATGAGCTCAACCTCCAGGTGAGTACTTGACATGAGGAGAAAGCTCTTCTGTCAAATTCAAGGGCACAGGCTTTGCAAGATTTAGGGATGCTCTGTGCCCAACCCTGTGGATTCCACGGTGCCACCGCAAGACTGGTGAGCCAGGTGCCGGCCCCAGGTGCGTGCCCATCGCAGATCTTGGCCTCTTTCTTTGGCACAGAACTTCCCACCCCATGACCACCATCTACCAAGAACCCTTCCCCCACCTCTTACCTGCCAGCCTGCAGCACCCCGGAAATGCTGAAGAGCCCAAAGTCGGTGATGACGACCTTGCCGTTGTCGTAGAAGACGTTCTTTGATTTGAGGTCCTTGTGAAGGATTCCCTTGGCGTGGAGGTAGCCCATGCCCTGCAGGAAGCCAGGGAGCAGGGAGTTGTTACTGAACGTCTACACGCCTGCTGCCACCCCCGCGTGGCTGGCTGACACGCCTCCCCCGTGAGACCACACTTAAGAGCTCCAGGCCAGGGGGTTCCCCACAGAGCCTGGAGCAAGGGGGAGTGGGTGGGGCTCCCAGGTCACAAATCCACCCCCTCCACTCCTGCAGACCCTGGCCAAACCACCTCCATTTGGTGAGTCAGCTTCCAGGGAAGCTGTCCTCAGAGGGAGGAGAGCAGGGAAGAGCTGGGACGAGATCCCCGGACAAAGGCATTCCAGCCACCATCAGCATCCCCCACTTCCCCTTTAAACACCCAACTCCTCGGCAGGAGACTCCTTCTCGTTAACCCATGCCACTGCAGAGTGCCCCGAGCCCCCCAGGGGACGGCACGTGA